TCCAGGTGCACTTTACCACTGGGCTACAACCCCAGACCCCCTTTTTTGATAGTGGGGATTAAACCCAGGGGCACTTAATCACTAAGTTACACCCCCAACCTCCTTTATTTTTTATTTTGAGACAGGGTCTCATTAAATTGCTGAGGCTGGCCTTCAACTTGCAATTCTCCTGCCTCAGGCTCCCTAGTTCATAGGATTACAGGTGTGCACCACCACATCTGGCAACCCCAGACTTCAAAAAAAAAAAGCATCTATTTATTTTCCATACCAGGGATCAAACCTAGGGGTGCTTTGCCACTGAGCTATATCCCCAGCTCTTTATTTTTTTATTTTGAGACTGGGTGTCCCTAAGTTTCTCAGGGCTTCCGCTAAATTTCCCAGGTTGGCCTCTAACTTCTGATCCTCCTGCCTCAGCTTCAGCAGTCGCTAGGTGTACAGGCTACAGGCGTGGACCATCGCTCTAGTCTTTTTTTTTTTTTTTTTTAAGATAGGGTCTGGTTTAGTTGCTGAGACTGGACTCAAACTTGCCATTTTCCTGCCTTAGCTTCCCCAGTTGCTGGCCTAACCGTTATGCACCACCACACCAGGTTTATAGTTCTCTTATTCCTAGTTTAAAAAGAAATTAAATCAGGTCTCAGACTAAGCCATTGTTAATATTTTAGCGAGTTTAAGGTCAATGGATTCTTCAAGGTTAGGCATATACTTGCTACAGCCCACAGTCTGCAACCTTGAAGGTGGTTCAACATCTGGTTTAGGATACAAGTTTCCAGAAAACGTAGGAGGTTATCCATACCTATCCTAGGTAAAAGGAGGGCAGAACGTCGTTTTTTCCTCTCAGCCCCCTAGCTTCAGGAGGAGAGCGCCTGAAAACTTTAAATCTCAGCATGGGAGAAGCCGCCTTTACAGTGAAGTTTGCGGTTTCACATTTTCCTACAGATTCAAATTGATATTTGGGGTCAATCTGGGCAAAATAAACACTAYAATCGATCATGTTAAATTTAACAATCTTGACACCAGTTACCGGTTCTACGCAAAATGACGAACGCGAACATTATTAGAAAAGTGAGAACACCAGCCAATGAGCTAACTCCAGCAGCAATGGCCCACTCGCTGCGCTCCCCCGGCTTAGGTAGGTGGGGCAAACCGCTCTGGGTAATTGGGTCAGCGTCATTGTCTGCGCGCGCCGACTCCCTCCATAGAGCTGCATTCCAACCAATCAGGCTCCAGCAGAGCACGTCACTCTGCCCAGTCGCCGCCGGATCTCCGCGGAAGCGCATGCGCGGGGCGCGGCCCGCGCCTTTGAATCCAGAAGGCGGCTTTCAGACTCCGGAGCTTGGGGGCTGACGAGTGTTTCAGGTGAGGAACTTTTAAACACCGTAGGAAATGGGACCTCTGAGAGCGAGGGGAATATTTCAACCTCTGAGGGCGGTACTGCGCTGTGAAGGATAACTGGGATAGAGTTTTCTTCCAGCTCAGGAATTTGCCTAATGGGTGTTGACTTTGACAATTTGGCTCTCTGCTTTGGCAGGTTGTGAGAGTGAGTGATCCTTGGCAAGCACTGGAACGGTTCACTCCATGGGGTCAGAAGCTGCTTCCCTGCTTTCTTTCTTAGGACTCTAGGAAACAACTCCAAGTTGGACAGTTCCACTGGATTGGACATATTTGTTACTCTACTGTTTTGGCATCTGTTCTAGGTAGGTGAGATTGAGTGTCATTACAATCATTCTCTTACTTTTCCCTATTCGAAGTCAAAATTTTAGAATTCATTCTTGGTTTTCCTCTTTTTCTTACATCTCATTCTTTTGTCACAGCCTGTCCAATCTACCTTCACAACATATACTGAATCCAGTCTTTTTCCATCATCTTCTGGACTTCTCCAAGATCCTTTAAGTGGTCTTGCTGCTCTTTGACCCCTAACATTTTAGTCTCCATACTGCAGATAAAATGATCTTAAAACACAAATTGGATATCGCTCCCTCCTCTAACCACCTCCGTCCTCCTCTCCCTGTGGGAAAATCCAAACTCCTTATCGCTGGCCTACAAGACCCAGTATACTCCCTGGCTGCCTTTCTGACTCTCACCACCCTTTGCCTCGTTCACTCTCACCATACTGGTGTTGCTGCCGTTTCATTAACATACAAAACACTTTCTTGCTTTAAGGTCTTAGTATGTTTTCCTTTTCTCTCCGTATAAACTATTCTTTCACTAGAGGTTTACATGGTAGGTTTCTTTCTTTCTTTTTTTTTTTTTAATTTTTATTGGTCATGTTAGGTTTCTTGACACCCAAATATCAGCTTAAAGGTAACCTCAGAAGGGTTTTCTCTGAACACTTATTTCAATAGATTCCCACCCCATGCTATTTCTATCACATCCCTGTATATTCGTTATTATTTGTTATTGGTTGATTCTTAATTTTCCCCAGCCTCTCACTCCAGTGTAAGTTTCATGAATGTAGTGACCTTGATTGTTTTATCCCTGGTAGGTAGAATTATGCTTGGCATATAGACAGTGTTCAGTAATTATTTACTGAATACATGCATTAATAAATGGAGAATGTTTCTGTCTTGAGAATGTTTAGTCTGCCTCCCAGTTTGGCTTTTTAACTATGCAGTTTTAACTGAGCACTGACAAAGTAGGGAACATAATGATTAAAAGCAAAATCAAGGAGGAATACAGAAAATAGGAGTGGAGAAAGTAGAGTACATGAGGTTTATTAGTTTTGGACTTGCTTATATGATATAGCCATTCTAAGAGGGCACTTAAATTTCACAGCTGATAAATGTTACCTTCTTCAGTTGTTAGTTTCTCTTTAGATCAAGGTAAGCTTTTTGAAAAAGTTAACCTGTAGGTTTTATTTTCTAGATTATTGTCAACTTATTTATTGAATACCGTTTATGTGCCAGGTACTAAGTACTAAATGTGGGAATATAGGTAGATGTGACCCCTGTCTTTTTGGGGAAAAAAGTGTTGTTTGGCTGACTAATGATAACTTGACACTTGTTTCTGTATAGAACATATGCAATAATGTCACCTCAAAAGAGAGTCAAGAATTCCCAGGCACAAAATAGAACTTCACAAGTTAGTAATAGTTGTCAGACCAAACTCTCAGCTTGGAAAGCAAAACCAAGCAACTCAAAGAGCATCTTGAAACAAAACAACACTGTGGAAGATTGTGAACATGGTGATGATCAAGCTGAAGATGCTCTGCAAATAACATTGGAATACTTTGAAAAAGGTAAAGACAGATCATTTCCTTATGAAAGTCCTATTTTGATAAAAATACTTATTTTTTTCTTAAGATTTTTTTAAAGGAAAACATGTTTTTTTTCTCATTTATGCTTTTGTTTATTTACATTTGTTGAACATTTACTATACATCAGTGTGCTAGGTATTATTATGGACACATAATGAAACATCTTTCCCAGTGGAGTGGTTCCCAAACTGCTGTACATCATGATCACCTGAGAAATTTAAAATATACTGATGCCTAGCATCTACACTTAGACATTCTGATTTTTTAAAAATATTTTTTAGTTGTCAATGGATCTTTTACTTTGTTTATATGCACTGCTGAGGATCAAACCCAGGGCCTCACACATGCCAGGCAAGTGTTCTACCACTGAGCCACAACTCTAGCCCTTAGACATTCTGATTTTATTGGTGTAAGATGTAACCTGGCATTAGGACTTCTTTTATTTTTTGTGGGACTGGGGATTGAACCCATGGCCTTATGCATGGGAGGGAAGCACTTTACCAACTGATCTATATCCCCAACCTGCATTAGGGCTTCTTAAAGGCTTCCTAGGTGATTCCAATATATAGTAAATTTTGAGAACCATTGTCCTAGTGTTTAAAGAGACTATAGTCTAAGTTGAGTGCTTTTAGTTAATTTATAGCAAGGATGCCAGAACATGATTCAGTTTTTCTCACTGAAAGTACTGTTGCTGTTAAATATTTTAGACTTTTAAAGGCTTTCAAGGGTGGGAATTTTTTTTTTTTTTTTTTTTTTTTGGTAAAGTCATTCCTTTAGTGCATGCCGAGTTGTAATTGTTGGGGTTAAGGACCGAAAAAAATTTAAAGGGCTTCTTATTTAATAGTATTCTTTTCTTAAGGTCCTATTAAAACTTCACGAAGTAAAGATAAAATCTTGGAAAAACACTTGAAAACTGTGGAGAATATGGCTTGGAAGAATGGGTTAGCTCCAGACGCAATTGACATTCTATTAAATGCAGCACTCAGTGGCAAATTTGGTATGTCAAGTGGATACATTTGTCATGTGTTTGCTATTGGTTTTGCCTTTCAGACTTTGAATTAGATTGTTCATTGGAATCAGTGGCAGTTCTTTATTTTGCTATTCTCTTAAGATTAATCTGGTAAGATTATAAAATAGCCTTTCTTGTGTTCAGAGTACTTTATGAGCCAAAAATTTCTGTTTGCATATTGCTGAAATGACCAATTATCACCTCTTTACAAATTAAACGTGGAATCTTGTCACCAAACATGGAATCGTTTTTAGTTTTTTTTCTTTTTTTGATTAAGCATAGATAATATTTTATTTTATTTTTTGAAAATATTTTAAATAATGTTTCTGCAAGGAATTTTAGAGATCACTTAGTCTATTTCATTGCTTTTAGGTTTACTTATCTAGGACAAGTTTCTATTTGCACTGCTTTCATTCTAGTGCCTGTGACCTTAAAAGTCAAAATGCTTTTTCTTTTGTGTAAATGTTTCTTTTTCTGTTCTCAGGTTATTGATTGGTGGATTGGGTAGGAGGGGTTCTTAGAAATAACACCTGGTCAATATTATTTTTACTTGAAAAGATTTCTTTTAACCTTCACTCATCTAAATTCAGAATTGCAAGGTATTTTAGTCCCTAAACATACCCATTTTAAAGAGGAGGAAATATTCCTAGAATAATTAGAGACTTTCCTTTTTTATTTCTTTTGGTACCGGGGGTTGATCTCAGGGGCACTCCACCACTGAGCCACATCCCCAGCCCTATTTTGTATTTTATTTAGAGACAGGGTCTCACTGAGTTACTTAGCACCTGGCTTTTGCTGAGGCTGGCTGTGAACTGCTATCTTCTTGCCTTAGCCTCTCAAGCTGCTGAGGTTATAGGCATGTGCCACTGCACCTGGCAAGACTTTCTTTTTTTTCTAAGTTTTTTTTTTAATTGTAAATGGACACAAAATCTTTATTTTACTTATGTATTTTTATGTGGTGCTGAAAAATTGAACTCAGTGCCTCATGCATGCGAGGCAAGCGCTCTACCACTGAGCTACAATCCCTTTCTTAATGTCAGAGCCCAAACTGGGGAAATTAGATCTCCTGTTGCACTTATACTGTACTATATGGCTAATGCTTTTTTTCCTACTTAAAAAAAAAAAAACTAATACATTCATCAATACTGAATTCTTTTAATACTAAGTATTTCTGGACCCTGTGTATTAGCTTTCTTTGTGTATACTGGAGCATCCAATTTACAAGTGTGTGTGTATGTGTGTGTGTGTGTGTGTGTGTGTGTGTGTGTGTGTGTGTGTGTGTTTTAAAGTAACAACACTGTACTAACTAAATTCAATCTGTGACTCAAGTATTTGTTTTTCCTCTTTAACCTGATTAGTTCTGTGTGTTTTCTTAGAAAATTAAGTTAGACCTAATAAAACTGACTTTTATTCTTGTAGGTAATAGTTTCAAATTGTTTGGTTCTAATACCTTTCCAGGAGTCCATGTTGATTAGTGTCTATCAAGATCAATTTTACCACTCACTTATCCCATTAAAAGATGTATAGAATGTACATTTTTTCTATTTTGGAATTATCTTTAGTGATATTAATGGTTAGGGAGTTTTCATGTTATATGCCATTGTGTTTCAAAAGGCATGTCTCAGGCTCTGGAAACTTGTACATAACAATTTAAAGTGAAACACTCTGCCTCTCTGTTGTTTTCATTTTTTTTGTTGGGCTGGAATTTATCGAGGTTGAATATGACCTCCTTAATTCCTTTTCCCTTTTAGTTAGTTCTATGATACCTCCCCATCTGTACTAGATCTTTATATATAGCTCTTTTGGGAAATTGAAATGCATATTTAGATGCATATTTAGGGGACAATTATACTAGAAATATCATTATAATTAGGTGCAAAGGGACTTTAGATCCTGAGAAATTAATTAAAAAGTCACTGGAAGTAAAAATAAAGGTAGTATTGAGTTCCTTCTTTGATTTGGTACATGTGTAAGGTGTTAATGGTGAGACTCTTTAAAAATTTAAAAAGGTTAGTGAACAGGAGTGGGAGAGGAAAAAAAATATAAAAACAAGAAACCTCAGAGTGGAAAGCAGGGATTTTTATTCTTGTGATTTTTTTTTTAACTTGACATCACTGCTTTATTTCTTCTCCACAGGGTGATGGGGTAGAAATTGGTGACATATTTTAATTATTGAAGCTTATTGCATAGAAGTTAGAATAAAGAATATACAAAGCCAGTGTCTGTAATCATTTCTGTTACCAGATGAGAGAATACCATGGAGACCAGAAGGCAAGATGGAAAGATTAGAGTAGGATAAAATAATATCACCTCCAGCTAATTCCAAGAAGATCTGTTTCATTCTGCTATCCTTCCCCGTTTTATGGGGCAGTGGAGGCTACAAATTTATTTATTTATTCTTAACTGTAGCATCTCATGCAACATGTCTACTAGTCTGAAACCAGTCTATTTTGCCATTAAAAATAAGAAAAAATTGATATTTCCCTGTGATTAAAGACTTTTTTAAAAATATTTTTTAGTTTAATTGCCAATGGATTTTTAACTTTGTTTATTTTATGGGATGCTGGGGATTGAACCCCATGCCTCATGCATGCTAGGCAAGCGCTCTACCACTGAGCCACAACCCCAGCCCTGATTAAAGACTTTTTTTAGATATAATTTACATACCATAAAATTTGTGCATTTGAAAGTTCAGTGTTACCACTGGGTAATTCCCAAATATTTTCATCACTTCAAAAAAAAAACCTTGTGTTCATCCTCCCCTTTAAAATAGAAATATGTGGGCCAAATAATTTGCTTCATATTTTATTTCAGGATCTGAAAGTACAATTTTGTTTTTACTAGTGTTTTATAATGATGATAAGAGGTACTAAATGTTATATAGTGTGTTGGTTTTTATTGTCTTCAAGGTAAAGTATTATTCGTATGACCAATAGTGAATAATAGTAAGTAAACAACTGAGATACTAAAACATAGTTTAATTTCAAGTTTGTTGTCCAGGGAATGCTATAAATACGCGGATACTGAAGTGCCTGATTCCAGCAACTCTAATATCAGAACATTCTGTGGTTAAGGCAGTCTCCTGGCTCTGTGTTGGCAAGTGTTCTGGTAGCACCAAGGTAATCTTTTTAAACACTTTGATGGTAAGTCCTTCAGAACCACTTAAGGGCTAGCAAGGAAGAGCCACTTATGAAGTAATGGACGTGGTCTTTTGTGTAAAGCCTGTAGTTTTGGAACAGTATAGCTTGATACGAGGACTCTGTTCGAACAGAAATTTTTACTGAGAAATAAAATCTATTATTGTATTTTGTGATAGAAGCGTCTAAAACAGCCCTGAGGGGGAAATTAAGCTCTTCTATGCCCGTTAGTTGTATTTTTCTAAAGATAAGCTTTTTGTCTCTCGATAGGTACTTTTTTATCGATGGCTGGTTGCAATGTTTGACTTCATTGATAATAAGGAGCAAATTAACTTGCTTTATGGCTTCTTTTTTGCTTCATTGCAAGATGATGCACTGGTAAGTAATCACTAGATGCGTCTAGCATCAATCAAATAGTACATGGATGTGAATTGATGCACCATATATGCTTCAGGGTGCTACAATGTGTTTTTCTGTATTTATTTAAAATATATCAAATATACAGGAATTATAGAGAATAACATAACAGCACTTCACTTTCTCTCAGATTAATTATTGCCATATTTGGTCTATATCATCTTTTAAGGAAATAAAAATATTACAGATTGAGTTGATTCCACATTGCAGTTTCTTTGCTGATCTACAGCAGTGATTACCATTTTTTTCTCTCTTAAACCACTTAAGCAAACTCCATTAGGTCACTTATTCTACATTTTCTTGATTAACACTGCAAAAATTTCATCACAATTAATGATAAGGAGAGGATTACTTTTCATGAGTTGCCAATGGACTGATTATGATTAAATGACATAATTATTCCCATTAAAAACATTAATAGCTCTAAGAAATCAATCTACTGTCCACCTGGAAGACTTTCAAGGATCATTAGTAGTGAGTGACACATCTAGCTGAATTTTTCCTATAAGAAAGGAATTCATTCACTAATTTCATTTTTAAAAATTCATGTTTCAGGGGGCCGGGGATGTGGCTCAGTGGTAAAGTGCTTGCCTAGCATGTGTGAAGCACTGAGTTCAATCCCCACCACCACCAAAAAAAAAAAAAAAAAAAAAAAGATCATGTTTCATCCAGGCATGGTAGTATGCTCTTGTAATCCCAGCTACTTGGGAGGTTGGGGCAGGAGGATAGCAAGTTCAAGGACAACTTGGACAACTTAGTGGGACCCTGTCTCAAAAATAAAAAAGGGCCAAAGGGATGAGATTGTAGCTCACTGGTAGAGTGCTTGCTTAGCATTCACAAGGTCCTGGAATCAATCCCTGTACTATGCCCCCCCCCCCCAAAAAAAAAAAAGTTGTTTCTGTTGTGTTCTTGTATTGTACTAGGCAAAAGTAGAAGATTCAGGCTTTAGCATAAAGTTTCTGTACTCCAAGAATTTAAAGTTTAATTGGGGAATTAAGGAAAGCATATGAGGTTAAATAACTTGAGGGTGAAATTATCAAAGACAATGTATGGTAGTGTGAGGATAGTACTTCCAAGAAGGAATAGAACACTGTAAATCAGAGGGATTACAAAAAACTTCATAAAGTATGTAGGTGTTTGAGCTGGGCCTTGAAGGTAGAATAGAATTTGGGATTTGATGAGAGGAAAAAATATTTGATATAATGGGAATATTTCAAGCAAAGTTCAAGATGTGTATTTTAAGGAATGATGACTAGAAAAACATGTTCAGTACAAACCCATTTTTTTCTAAGTATTTTTTATCTGTAGTTGGTTGAATCTGCTGATGTAAGATAGAGGCTGCAGATAGAGGCTGACTAGAGCTGTTTATGGAAATGAGAATGAAAGTTGACTATAGACAGTTTGGAAGGTCCAGATGAAATTAGAGAACATGAATTTGGGACCTTACAAATATGCAAGAGGGACAGGTGGGGTGGTACATGTCTGTAATCTCAGTGAGGCAGGAGGATCACAAGTTCAAGGCCAGCCTTGGCAACTTAGTGAGGCCCTAAATAATTTAGTGAGACCCTATCTCAAAATAAAAAAAAAAAAAAAAAAAAAAAAAAAAAAAAAACTGGAAATGTGGCTTACAGGTTAAGCTCTGGGTTCAATCCTTAGTACAAAAAAAAGAAAAAATACCCAAACGAGTGGTTTCTCCAGAGTTATGACAAAGGTACAAGAGAGTGATTAAACTTCTGGACCATGGAGTGAAAAGGGAAGAAAGTGAAGACAAAAGAGTGTAGATCTGGAGCACATACAGCTTAGATTCAGGATGCCGTGATGACATTCAAGAAACATTGAGATTAAAAAGTGGACTGATAATAAGTTATAGCACTGAAGTTTAAGATTTCAGGAGGGAATGATTCAATGTAATGGCAAGGTTCTGAGAGACTGTCAGGTGATTTGCTGAAGTACAGTGAGGAAATGAACGTTATTAGAGTAGATATTTTCTATATCCTTATGGATTTTTTTGTTGTTGCTGCCCATCCGTCAATTACTGAGAGGTATGTTGAAAATCAGCTATGAAGGCAGATTTGTCAATCTTCCTTTAAAATTTTCTCAATTTTTGTTCTGTATATATTTTGTGTGTATTATTAGATATATGCACAATTATATATATATATATATATACACACACACATATATGTATGTATATGTATGTATATGTGTGTATATATATAATTGTGCATATACCTAATAATACACTAAAAATATATAGAGAACATATATATGTATGTATATATATGTATATATGTATGTGTATATATATATATATATATATATATATATGTGTGTGTGTATGTGTGTATGTATGTATATATATATATTTTTTTTTTTTCTGGTACTAGGGTTTGAACCCAGCAGTGCTTAACCACTGAGTCACATCCCCAGCCCTTTTTATTTTAAGAAAACGTCTCACTATGTGGCTGAGGCTGTGATCCTCCTGCATCAACCTCCTTAGTTTCTGGGATTATAGGCTTGTGCTATCACACCTGGCCACAATCATAATTCAATCAAACTTTATATCATGGAATAACCCTTTGCTATTAAAATGTTTTTCATCTTAGTTCAATTGTGTGTCTTATATTGGCATTGCTACCCTGCCTTTATTTTGGTTAGTAGCTGCTTAGTATATTTCCATCTTTTTTTTTTTTTTTTTGGTACCAGGAATTTAACCCAGGGGTGCTTAACTCCTGAGCCACAATCTCCAGCCCTTTTTTATTATTTATTTTGAGACAGGGTCTTGCTAAGTTGCTCAGGGCCTTGCTAAGTTGCTGAGGCTGGCCTTGAACTTGTGATCCTCCTGCCTCAGCCTCCAAAGCTTCTGCGATTATGGGTGTGTACCACTGCACCTGTCTATATTTCCATTTTTTAATGTTTTAAAATTTGTTTTTACATACTGGGGATTGAACCCAGAGGCACTTTACTGCTGAATTACATCCTCGGCATGTTTTTTTTTTTTTTTCAATTTGTGGTTCTTTTTTTTAAAGTTCATTATAGTTATACATAATATTGGGGTTCATTTTGACATATTTATATAAGCATGAAATATAGTTGACTCCAATTCAGTCTCCAGTATTTCCCTTTCTCTGCTGTCCTCCCTCCCCCTGTTCCCTTTCCTATACTCTACTGATCTTCTATTTATTTATAGTTTTTTAAAATTACTGTATTGTGGATATACATAATATCAAATTCACTGTGGTCTATGCACATATGTATGTAGGAAAGTTTGGTTAGATTCATTCCACTGTTTCTTTTCCTGTCCCTCCTCCCGCCCCCCAATCCCCTTTCTCTACTCCACTGATCTTCTATTTTCATGAAATGTACCCTTTCTTCTTTCTTTATCCATATTTTGGTCTAGCTCCCAGTTATGAGAGAAGAACATTATGCTAAGTGAAATAATCCAGACCCATTGACTTTTTGGGTCTGGATTATTTCACTTAGCATAATGTTCTTCAGTTTCTTTTATTTACCAGCAAAGGTCATAATTTCATTTTTCTTTATCCCTGAGTAAAACTCCATTGTGTATATATACCACATTTTCTTTATCCATTGAACCCTTTTATTATTTATTTGTTTGTTTGTTTATGGTACTGGAGATTGAATCAAGAGATGCTTTGCCATTGAGCCACATTCCCCAGCCATTTTATTTTTTATTTTAAGACAGGGTCTCTTGCTAAGTTGCTTAGAGCCTTGTTAAATTGCTGAGACTGGCCTTGAACTTGGAATCCTCCTGTCTCAGCCTCCCAAAACACTGGGATTACAGGCATGAGCCACTGTACCCAGTTTATTTTTTGTTTTGAGACAGGGTCTTGCAAAGTTGCCTAGGCTGGCCTCAAACTTGTGATTCTCCTATCTCAACCAAACAAGGAGATGGGATTACAGGCATACACCACTGAGCCCAGCTGCAGTCTTGATTTAAAAAAAAAATCCTTTTCTACCCTTACATCTCAGATGTCTCTTTTTAAAATTGCATACAACTCTGTGTGTGTGTGGTGCTGGGGATTTAACCCAGGGCATTGTGCATGTTAGACAAGCATTCTACTGCTGAGCTATATACTCCAGACCCTGGATTTTAGTTTTGCTCTTTTTTTTCTTTTTATTTCTTTTTTTTTTTTGTGGGTTCTAGAGATTGAACCCAGGGGCACTTAACCTCTGAGCCACATCCCCAGCCCTCTTTTTATATTTTATTTAGAGACAGGGCCTTGCTGAGTTGCTGAGGCTGTCCTTGAACTCAAGATCCTCCTGCCTCAGCCTCCCCAACTACTGGGATTACAGGCATGCACCACTGTGCCCTTGTTTGATGATTTTTATTTTTATTTATTTTATTTCTTTTTACTTGAATATTGATTATTGCTTTGGTAGAAATAAACTCAAATATTTTATTTTAGGTTTTCTAACCACTCTCCCCCAATTCTTCTCTATCTCTTTTCTTTTTGTCTACTTTCTTTTGGAATGATTGTGGTTTTCCCTTTATTTTTGTTGGGTTTACATAATCTGTGCTCTTTGGTGTTTTTGTACTAATTTTAGAATACTTACCTAAAGTGTAAGGATAACTGGTATCTTTATCTTGTATAATTCAAGGAACCTAGAGTGCTTTAACTCTGATCACATCCCTCAAAGTTATATGTTATTGTTTGGTATTTCTTCTCCATCCTCCTGTATGCACATAAAGCAGACATTATTATTATCTTTACAATTGAGTTTATTTTCATTTACCTTCATATGTTTTTATTTTTTAAATATTATTTTAGTTGTAGATGTACCTTTGTTTATTTTTATGTGATGCTGATGATCGAACCCAGTGCCTCACACATGGTAGGCAAATGCTCTACCACTGAGCTATAGCCCCAGCCCTACCTTCATATTTACTAGTATCATTTTAAAAGAAAGCTTTTTAATTATAGATGGACAGAATACTT